TCTCATTTTGTTTTATGGGTCTGTCTAATCTTTGGCCAAAGTGTGAACCTCAGGAGTAACTTCATTGCTTAGCTAAAAGGGTTTCTGGGGGAAATTGATTATCTATTTTGATGTTTTGTTCTTGTATTATTTTCCTGAATTCTTCTATTGTTCTGTCTGTGTTTTCCTTGATTTTGGCTACTTTTTCATTTTTTTTTTTTCGTGTTTTCCTTGATCTCTTTCCTAATCTCTTGGAGAGCCCTAAGTATTAGTCTTTTAAATTCCATATCAGATCGTTCCAACTGCCTTTTCTTCTACCAGAAGGTCATCTGATTTTTTATTTTGGTCACTTGCTGGAGCCGTCTTGTCCTACTTTTTTATATGTTTTGTTGTTATCTGCTGTCTCTGCGACATTAAGGTATTATTTCTTTTATTTATTGATTATATGTTCATTTGTTTCATCCTGCTTCTTTATTTAGTTTTGATATGTCAGGACAGGCAGGACAGGCATGCTTTGTTGCTTGCTTGTCTGTGGGCATGATAGCTGTCACCACCTTGTCCTGGTGACAGGGCAGCAACAGGCAGGTTGAGCCCACTTTGCTGTACACTGGGTCTGGTGAAGTGGCTCAGGGCAGACTGGGCGAGTGCTCTTTGCCTCCTGATGTTGGTCTAGTGATGTGGGAGCATTCATAGCCCATCAGCAGATAGGTGGGGGGGTGGGTCAGACAAGGAGTGCTATAGGCTCACTTCCCTTCCTTCAGCAGCTGTTCCAGTGATAAGCAGGGAGGGGTAGTGCAGGCCCAGTGCAGTGGTGGACCTGATCCAAGGACACTCTAGCAATAGCCAACATGGCAAGGGCCAGTGAGAAGGACGGGGTGGAGTATGGAATAAATGGTGGAAAAATAAAAGAGAGAGAAAGAAAAAAAGGGTAGTTGTTAGGTGGACATAGGGCGGACCTGGGAGCCAGCAGAAAGGTGGGTGGGGGTGGTGTACAGGGTTAAGTGGGTGGTAGAAAGTGGTGGGCCAGTGGTTTTCTAGCCACAGTGGTGTGGCCTCACCCAGTGGGAAGGGAGGAGGTGGCATACAGGGCTAGATGGGAGGGAGAAAGAAAAGGAAGGAAGGGAAGAAATAAAATGAAATTGCACAGCGGGAGCCATTGTGTGGAGGCAGGTCAGCCTTGGAATGGTGGCAGGCCAGTGACTCTCTAGCCACAGTGGCACAAAGTGACCTAATGGGGAGGAATAGAGGTGGTATACAGTGCTAGATGGGAAGGAGAAAGAAAAGGAAAGAAGAAAAAAATGGCACAGCAGGAGGCAAAAGATGGGGGCGGAGTGGACTTGGATGATTGTGGGCCAGTAGCTTTCTAGCTGAGTGGCACGGTTTTTCTCATCGGGAAGGGGTGGAGGTGGTGTACAGAGCTAGTTAAGAGGGAGAAAAAAAAAAGGAAGAAAGGGGAAAAAATATGGCATGGCAGGAGTCAGTGGGTGGGGGTAGGGGAACCCAGGCTTGCAGCGGGCTGGTAGCTCTCTAGCCACATGTCAAGGCATGGCCTGTTGGAAAGGGGTTGGGGTGGTGTACGGGGCAGAAGTGTAAGGGATGGGAAAGTGTGTTTCTCTGGTTCCCAGGTGCTCTTTCTCCTGTTGGGAGCTCCATGACTTTGGCTTCCTGTACTCCCTGTCTGGGATCGTTGCTGGCTGTGCTTCAAGATGGCGACACTGTGCCGTGTCAGTTGGCAAGGGACCTCCACTTGTTCTCCGTCTTCCTTCAGTTTCTTCTTCCATTTGGTTTTGATCTAGTTATTTACCCCTTCATTCAATGCTGAGGGCTCCAGGATTGACATTTGTATTTGTTTTACTTAGTTTTTTAGGTCTTTGCTGCAGAGGGATGTCATGATGCATCTGTCTATGGTGCCATGTTGGCTCTGGCTTCATAATTTCAATGAATCTTAATTCTTCACTTGTTTCAATATAAATTTGGAATGTGTTCCCTTGAAAAAAGACTTGAGTCCCAAGGTGTAAGAAAAATCACACTTAAAAATGTAGTAAACTATTTGACAACATATCTTTACAGAAAAAGCAGCTTTTGAGAAACTGTAATAAATATGCTGAAAATTCTAATATTCAATGAACTCAAGACTAAATCAGCAAAAGCAAAAAATGCAATCAAGCCCTAGAAACCCACTTTGGTGATTTATCTTCTGCTGTCTCACAATTATTCCAATCCAAGTGTCTTAGTTTTCTAGTGCTGCCATAACAGAAATGCCACATTGGGATGGCTTTAACAAAGAGAAATTTATTCGCTCACAATCTAGGAGGCTAGAAGTCCAAATTCTCTGAGCCCATTCCCAGAGAATTCTATGTCTCTCTGTCAGTTCCGGGGGAAGGTCCATGTCATCAATCTTCCCCTGGTCTAGGGGCTTTTCAGCGAATGGACACCAGGTCAAAAGTATGCACTCCTCCCCTGGCGCTTCTGTCTTGGTGATGTGAATTCCCTCTCCTATCTGCTTGATTCTTTTATGTCGCAAAAGAGATTGGCTCAATACACAGCCTAATCCTGCAGACTTTGTCCTGCCTCATTAACATAACTGCCCCTAATCCTGCCTCATCAACATCACCATAACCAAACCCATTGCCATAGAGTCAATTCCAACTCATCGTGACCCTATAGGACAGAGTAGAACTGCCCCGCAGAGTTTCCAAGGAGTGGATTCAAACTACTGACCTTTTGGTTAGTAGTTGAGCTCTTAACCACTGTGTCACCAAGGCTCCAACATCACAGAGTTTGGATTTATAATACACAGGATAAATACATCAGATCACAAAATGGAGGACAACCATACAATACTGGGAATCATGGCCTAGCCAAGTTGACACACATTTAAAGTGTGGACACAGCCACACTCATTTGTTTACATATTGTCTGTAGCTGCTTTAACATGGAAGAGTTGAGTAGCTGCAACAGAGACCGCATGGCCCACAAAGCCTAAAATATTTACTATCTGACCCTTTATATGAATAAGCTGACAATTCCTGTTTTAACTAATGGCTGATGTTCTTGTTAAGTAATGTTTGTGGATCCATACCCACAGTAGGAGAAATCAGAGTGTGGACACAAGTTGTCACCTAAGAGTACACAATGTTTATAAATTCAGGGGTGCTGTGCTTGAGAGTGAAATTTTTACATTTTTCAATAATTTCTTAAATTCGGAATTTGATTAAATGATTTTCTATTAGGTAACCAGCATCTATATGTCAAATTGACTTTCTTTTTTAGGTTGTCATAGAAAGAAAATATTTCCAAGTGTTTCTATCAAAATTCAAACATTTGAAATGTATTTTCATCTCTCTCCAGTCTATATAATTTTTATAAGTTGTTTTCTACGACATACATATTCACATAACGTCAAAATCTCCTATCTCTTATTATCTTATCATCAAATTAGGGCTTTGGAAAATAGAAAGGATTAGTTATTATTATTTGGATTATTGTCATTTATTTTGAAATGTGAGGAACAGCTTCTTTTCAACACCACATGATAAAATATATATGTTGAGCTGAATAATCCTTCAAATGATGGTATTGTTTTCCATTGTTAATTTTTAAAGTCTTTATTTTTGTCTGTCCTCAGCAAGAATCTAAACGTTTTAATTTTTTTAATAGGGTGCTATAGCAAGCTTATAGCTGCTGTGCCTTAGACAACCTATATTTAGGGAAGGAAATTTTCTAATTCAATTTACAATGATGTCAAGAAACAACACGTATCTGCAGGCAAAGATAAGAAAAACATTCAGGGGTACACAGTGATAGCTCTACTTCAATAAATAAACTTTTGGTACTAGTGATTAGGTACACAGGATTATTATATGTTTAATTGGCTAACGTGACAATTTGGAATTACTTCTAGTCACATTTAATTGGATTTGGAATCTCTAGAGGAAAGAAATACAAGGTCTAGCAGAGAAACAGTCATAAAAGTAAACTGTTTTTCCAAAGGGTGCTAAGCAATGAATTAATATCCATTGCACAATAGTTTTTAATATCCCCTTAGCTTAATAAGACTAATTTGGTTGTTATGCAGACTAGATACTGAAACCAATTCAATTAGACACAAAGATTGGGGGAGTGGGAATGTTTGTTGAACTGGAGTTTTTTTTATTTTCAATTTTAAGAAAGCTAATTTAATCAAAGGTGAGTAATCTTTAATTCAGGTAAAGCCTGAGATCTGCTTAAATACCAGTATAATAGTTAGCTATATATGCTATCCACCACCCTTTGTCAGTTTGTTGTCCCATGGTGGGTTGCATTTGCTATGATGCTGTAAGCTATACCACCAGTATTTCAAATACCAGCAGGATTACCCATGGTGGACAGGGTTCAGTGGAGCTTCCAGACTAAGACAGACTAGGAAAAAAGGCCTGGCAATCTACTTCTGAAAATTAGCCAATGAAAACCCTACGGATCACGAGAGAATACTGTCTGATATATTGCTGGAAGATGAGCTCTGTAGGTTGGAAGGCACTCAGCATACACAGTGCTCCAACGACAGACTCCAGCATACCAATGATCATGAAGATGGCTTAGGACTGGCAACATTCATTATCTTGTACATGGGGTCGCCATGAGTCAGACAGCAACTAACAACAAGAACAATAATATGTGGTATGCTAGGTTTGAAAGCATTTCAAAGTTCATAAGATATACATTAGTCTGCAAACACTTTGAAGCTTAGTAAGAGACAACCAAAATAAGGCACTCTCTTAGTCTTCAAATATTTTTATACTGTACAAAATAGAAAACCATCCAGAAGAAAAATGACTTATTGCTTCTCTCCTATAGTTTTAGTTTAGCTACAAACAAAACGAAGCTACATCTACATTCTAAAATGTGTTTTATTCTTTGCTTAAAATTAGTCAAAATTATTCAGTACAAAAACTTTTTACTCAGTATTTGTATATACTTCCTGTTATGGTGTTCCTTCGGTCCTATAAATTTGTTTTAAAAAAATCTGTCCTTATCCTTAGGAGTGCCATGATTGCCGACTACATGTTCTGGCTCTGTGGAAGAAGTGAGCAGTATATAAGCAAGCTCATCAAACTGTACTGGCAGGTAAAAATTGATGCCCCAACTAGGAAGGAGGAGTTCATCTCATTTTTAGAACCAAAATGAAGGACTGGTGCTTAAAAGACTGATGAAAAAGATAGCTCTGGACATATCAATCAGAAGGACGCTACCTAGTAGTGTTTATAATGAAATAGTTTTCTGAAACTAATTTTAAGGGCGAAACTCAAGGTTGTTAACCTTTGGTCCATACTTTAGTTTTACAACCCAATATCAGTTTCAGACATCCCAGGAATATTTTTCCAGGCATGCTGCTATAATAACATGATCCTTTAAAATTTAACATTGTATTTCATAGATTCTTGTTGATCTATGGCCAGCAAAAGCAGATTCTAGAAGTAATATCAATTATATCATAAAGGAAAATGTAAAGATCAGTTGTATTTGTTTAGAAGACTTGACCAAAAACAAACTGCAGAATAATAAATCATACTGAGAGTCAACTGGATGCCAAGAAGAGAATCATAATTTATGAAAATTTATAATTTACTAGTTAAATCTCCTTCACAACAAATCTATTTCCTTATCCAACTTGACAACTAACCCCCCCAAGTTATCAGTAAGTTTCTGCTGAAATATAACCAAATCAAAGAACTCACTTACCCCAAAAAACAACATCCAATTTTCTGATTACTAAACTGTTTATCTCATTTAAAGTGACTATCTCCTCCCTTAGAACTTCTATCCAGTGGTTCCCATTGGGGCCACACAGACCAAATGGAAACCCATTTCAAAATGGAAAACTTTCAAATCTTTGAAAATTGTCTACAGTAGCTACTTCCCTCCTCCATATCTTCTCCAGACTGTGTAGGTTTTTTTTTTTTTTCCTTGTACTTTGAGATGGTTTATTTTAATTCAACAGAAACCTTTTGAACAAGCTAGAATAAAATTTACTAAAATAATAATAGGAAAGATTTTTCCCACCATTCCACTATTATCTCTTGGCACCTAGTTTTCTGTCTCTCTACCTCACGTGATATCTTCATTATGTCTCAATTTTCCCTCCAAGTTAACTCCTACTAAATTAACAAACTTATTGGATTCCACCTTCCTTACAGATTTACTTCTCAGCTTGAATCCCACAGTCATATCAAATAACTTAGGTGATAAACGGGCATTCCACCAACCAGGATAGCTATGTGACCCTACCATTGAAAACGTGGAAACCAGTATAAATGCAACAAGATGATCTTTATAAACATTACAATTTTTACTAAAATATTGTCCTTACTAAGTCAGAAGAATCTTGAATATTGAAGGCTAAAGAAAATTTGAACAAGTCCATGAGAGCCAAAGTATGACCTGAATTTAGAGACTGTCTCAGAAATAGATTTGACTTATTGAACACTATTGACCAAAAGACCAGATGAGTTGTGGGATGACATCATACATGAAGAAAGCAAGAGGTCTTTAAAAAGACATGAAAGAAAGAAAAGGCCAAAATGAATGTCAGAAGAGACTCTGAAACTTGCTCTTGAACATTGAGTAGCTAAAGCAAACAGAAGAAATGATGAAGTAAAAGAACTGAACAGAAGACTTTAAAGGTGGCTGGAGAAGACAAAGTAAAGTATTATAATGACACGAGCAAACATCTAGTGTTAGAAAATCAAAAAGGAAGAACAAGCTCGGTATTTTGCAAGATGAAAGAACTGAAGAAAAAATTCAAGCCTTGAGTTGCAATACTGAAGGATTCTACAGGGAAAATATTAAATGAAACAGGAAATATCAAAAGAAGATGGAAGGAATACACAAAGTCACTGTACCAAAAAGAATTGATCGACATTCAACCATTTCAGTTGGTAGCATATGATCAGGAACCAATGGTACTGAAGGAAGAAGTCCAAGCTGCACTGAAGGCACTGGCGAAAAACAAGGCTCCAGGAATTGATGGAATACCAATGGAGATGTTTCAACAAATGGATGCAACACTGGAAGCACTCATTCATCTATGCCAAGACATTTGGAAGACAGCTACCTGGCCAACTGACTAGAAGAAATCCGTATTTATGCCTATTCCAAAGAAAGTTGATCCAACCAAATGCAGAAATTATCTAACAATATCATTAATATTACACCCAAGTAAAATTTTGCTGGAGATCATTCAAAAGTGCCTGCAGCAGTACATCAACAGGGGACTGCCAGAAATTCAAGCAGAATTCAGAAGAGGCCATGAAACCAGGGATATCATTGCTGATGTCAGATGGATCCTGGCTGAAAGCAGAGAAAACCAGAAAGATGTTTACCTGTGTTTTATTGACTATGCAAAGGCATTCAGCTGTGTGGATCATAACAAATTATAGATAACATTGTGAAGAATGGGAATTCCAGAACACTTAATTGTGCTCATGCATAACCTGTACATAGACCAAGAAGCAGTAGTTCAAACAGAACAAGGGGATACTTCATGGTTTAAAATCAGGAAAGCTGTGTGTCAGGACTGTATCCTTTCACCATACTTATTCAATCTATATACTGAGCAAATAATCTAAGAAACTGGACTATATGAAGAAGAATGTGTCATCTGGATTGGTGGAAGACTCATTAACAACCTGGGATGTGCAGATGACACAATCTTGCTTGCTGAGAGCAAAGAGGACTTGAGGTACTTACAGATGAAGATCAAAGACTACAGCCTTCAGTATGGATTACACCTCAACATAAAGAAAACGAAAATCCTCACAACTGGGCCAATAAGCAACATCATGATAAATGGAGAAAAGACTGATGTTGTCAAGGATTTCATTTTATTTGAATCCATAATCAACGCCCATGGAAGCAGTAGTTAAGAAATCAAAGGGCACATTGCATTGGGCAAATCTGCTGCAAAAGATCTCTTTTAAAGTGTTAAAAAGCAAAGATGTCACCTTGAAGGCTAAGGTTCACCTGACCCAAGCCACGGTGTTTTCAATCACCTCATATGTATGCAGGAGCTGGACAATGAATAAGGAGGATCTAAGAAGAATTGATGCCTTTGAATTATGGTGTTGGCAAAGAATATTGAATACACCATGGACTGCCAAAAGAACCAACAAATCTTTCTTGAAAGGAGTACAGCCAGAATGCTCCTTAGAAACAAGGATGGTGAGACGTTGTCTCACATATTTTAGACATGTTATCAGGAGGGATCAATCTCTGCAGAAGGACATCATGCTTGGTAAAGTAGAGGGTCAGCGAAAAAGAGGAAGACCCTCAACGAGATGGACTGACACAGTGGCTGCAACGATGGCCTCAAGCATAACAACAATTGTGAGCAGGGCACAGGACCAGGCAGTGTTTTGTTCTGTTGTACATAGGGTCACTATGAGTCAGAACTGACTGGATGGTACCTAACAATAACAACATACAAAATATATTAGCCAGTAAAATAGTAAGTTTGCCATATAAAATTGCTGACATTTTATATGGCTCTATCTAAATATTTGGGCTCAATTTACCTATTATAGAAAAATAAAAGTTTGAATTAATCCTACTACACTCGAGACTTGTGATCATAAAAACAGAAAGTTACATTTGTGCCATCTTAATCTGATTATAGTTTTAAGACTTTCCTAAGAGAATCTGGAACCTGCAAACAGTAACACTTGCTTAAGGGCATGCAACTAAATAGTTGTAAATAATCACTGCACATGAAAAACAAGCAAATAATATGAGCTATGAATATACAGAAGGCAGAGGACTTTTGGGTTCCAGGGGCTTCTTGAGACAGGTGGGAAAGGAGCTGAATCTTAGAATGAATAATATTCAGCAGGCTTGACATATGCCAGGTCCCCAAGGATTGTTTGAGTTAATTTACTCATCCATTAAATAAATGTATATTGAATACATATTGTGTTTTCTACATTGAGCTAGGAAAAAATAGATCCAATTTTGTTGCAACCTAAGCTAAGAGCTTAATATTTTTGTAAATGAAAATTTCTTCTGTCTCTTCAGTTTTCAGAGAACATTAATAGATTAATATTAATATTCATATATAATTTTTCATCTCAAACTAATGTTTGCTATACAAAAAGGAATAAAACAAAATAAGCAAATAATATGAACTATTGCTATTTGCTCCTTTACTATTCTGCATTAACAAAAATATTTTTAAAAAAACGTATTTCCTTTGTATTCTCTTTTTCTCCTTTATTTTGATGCAATTTGGTAAAGTGGAAAAGAGCTTTTGTCTGGGAGTCAGATCTGATACAGTTCAAGTTCTAATATCAACTAGTTATTTAACTTAGGGAAAGTTAGCATCTAGAGGCATTTCAACTAGAAAATAACGGGTGACTGGCATAAAGTGTTTGAGAATATCTATTCACAAAGCCCATTTTAGCCTTAAAATCTCACAGTTTTAGGTACATCCAAAATGATGTCACAAATTTTAAGAAAAAAAAAGAAGCAATATCGTCTTAGTCATCTAGCGCTGCTATAACAGAAATGTTACAAGTGGATGGTTTTAACGAACAGAAGTTTATTTCCTCATAGTCAAAGTAGGCTAAAAGTCCAAATTCAGGGCATCAGCTCCAGGGAAGGCTTTTCCTCTCTGTCGGCCTTCTTCTCTTCAGTGTTCCCCTGGACTAGGAGCTTCTCTGCGCAGGGACCCCGCTCCAAAGGACGCGCTTTGCTCCTGGCACTGCTTTCTTGATGGTATGAGGTCCCCCTGTCTCACTGCTCACTTCTGTCTTTTATATGTCAAGAGATTGCCTCAGGACACAATCCAGTCTTGTAGATCAGGTCCTGCCTTACTTACACAACTGCCACCCATCCTCCCTCATTAACATCATAGAGGCAGGATTTACAACATATAGGAAAATCATACAATACCAGGAATCATGGCCCAGCCAAACTGATATACACATTTTTGGGGGGACATAATTCAAACCATGACAAATATATTTTAAAATTGCATCATAAAGATACATTCCATGAACTAAACCCTCTGTCTCACCCCAACGTTAGCAACCACATCATTCTCTTAAGCCAGTTATGTACTTCTTTCTGCTAAC